TGCAGTAGGTTACATATTTTTTTACTAGTAGGCCTACTTAACAGAAACACCGGCTTATTTCTTTGAAGTTGCATTTATTTAAGTTATTTTAATCACTTAACAACAGCATTAATCAATAAGATAGACAAATAAATAAGGAAATAGTACGGTATTACTACCTAAAACTTGCTTCTCCCGACTATATTTATACGCGTCATTGTCTTATTCTTACATTTTTTACAAATTTAATCTAAGCTCATATTCGTGAAAAATGTTTCACACAAAAACGAGAATATATTTAAGATGTCTAATTTGATCGAAGAATTGCAGAAAGAAATTGTTGCTTACGCGGTGGATCAAGTAGAATCTTAGAACACTGTATGTATTATTCATTTTTTAATTGAGCTATCGTAATAATTCTTGCATCCAGGCACATCACATCTATCTGGCATGCTGTAGTAAGAAGTTTAATGTCATTACTAATGATTAAAGGTAGTAGAAACGCGATTATGTACGTAGTGTACGCGACTCCTCCATTCACTGTAATGGTAAAACGACCGAACGCCAAGACACTGATGCGACGTTGCCGCTTTTCACTCGCCGCGGCCTTGTATTAGAGGTGGCTGTGCCTTAATAGATTAAAAGGTTACGAGTTTTTAATAAGGTATGATATTTTTCAGGAGTGAAGATATATGACTTCAGACATAAGAAAAGATAATCTAATTTAAGCATAAGAAAACTAATTAAGGTTATCCCTGAAGTAATAATTTGAGGAATCACTCTTAACGATGTTTTTCTCCCTCACAAATTAAATTTAGTAATTAATTTGTTTATACTAGAATTTAAATTATATTGAACTTTTTTGTTGTAGGTTGAGACAGTAAAAGGGATTGAAGCAACAGATTATGTTGATTTAAGAATTAATATAATACAAAAGAAAAATATAGAAAGACAAAGACAAAGAAAAAGGTAAAACCCTGTGCAAAGCAAGATTTGACTACAAGACGATACAATGTTGAATGAGAGATTAAGTCTATCATGTAATTGCTATACATTTAACAAGTCCTACAAACAAGATTACTTTATAGAATGCATTCAAATCCATCTGATTTGTTGAGTTTATTGATTAGTTACTAGATTTATGTGATAAGTTAAACGGAAATAAAAAGTGCAAGAGTAGAAATGTTAACACAGACTAAACATTTTCCCCTCAAGTGTCCAATATGTGAGCAACGCTGTTCAACTCTATACGCAATGAAGGTTCATATATTATATCACACAGGAGAGCGTCCCTTCAAATGTTTGATATGTGGAAAAACTTTTCTCAAACAGCAGCAAGTAAAGAGGCATTTATTGGTTCATACAGGGGAGAGGCCTTACAAGTGCTCTACATGTGGAAAATCCTTTGCAAACAAAATCAACATGAAGACACATTCATTGATTCATACAGGAGAGAGACCTTATAAGTGCACTTCATGTGAAAAATCCTTTACAACCAAAAATAAATTGCAGAGACATTCATTGGTTCATATAGGAAAGAGTCCTTACGAGTGTGCTACATGTGGAAAGTTCTTTTCAACAAAAAGCAATATGAAGAAACACACATTGGTTCATACAGGGGATAGACCTTATAAGTGCACTTCATGTGAAAAATCCTTTACATCTAAAAGCAACATGATGAGACATTCATTAGTGCATGTAGGAGAGAGACCTTTTAAGTGCGCTACATGTGAAAAGTCCTTTAAAACTAAAGACAAATTGAAGAGACATTCATTTGTTCATATAGAAAAGGGACCTTTTAAGTGCACTACATGTGAAAAATCCTTTACAACCAAAGACATATTGAAGAGACATTCATTTGTTCATACAGGGGAGAGACTTTAAAAGTGCCCTACATGTGAAAAATCTTTTGCATTAAAAAGCTGTATCAGAACACATATTACAAGGGTCCACACAGTAGAGAGACTCAGAGACTCTAAAGTGCAGTAGGTTTTTGCAGCAACCTTTTTCTTCCAAAAACATATGAAGGTACAGTACATTCGGTTTGGATACTGAAGATAGACCTTGTAAGTGCACTACAAAAACATACATGAGAAAATCCTTTTAATGAAAAACTAAATTAAGGAACATTAAGGACAAATATTTAGCATTCAAAATCATTTTAATATACATTTTAATTTATCTGAGTGACCTACAAGAAAATAGTTATAAGAATTTTATTCTCACTTAATTTTAAACACATTTTCAAATCCTCCAGAGATTAAAGGAATAAATCTATAAGGTATTACTTAAATATTTTTTAGAATATTAATTTTGTCTGTGATTTTAATTTTTGAAGGGATAAAATATAATAAGTTGTTCCAGCTCTGCCAGGGTTTTACAGCTCTAATTTATGTTTTTGAATTCAATATAAATTTTTTGTAGATATTATAGCTATGAAATAGTAGGTTTGTTTACTGTATTGAATTTTAGTTTTTGACAAACATGCAGTTTAACATACAGGGTGAGTTTTAAATGAGTTCCCCCCCATACTTTTTTCTACATTTCTTAAGATATCAACTCCGGTCCACGTCAGATCATTGTAAAGTAGTAAGTACTTCATTTTGACTGGGTATAAATTTGTGGCCGCCATCTTGGATCCGCCATATTGGATACAAAGTTTTTTTTCAAATGTAAGAGTTGTTTTCAAAGGTAGTATTTTTGAGCAAGACAGGATCACTCTTAACATGTGTTCCCCAATCACAAATTAAATTTAGTAATTTACTAGCTGTGTACCCGTTCTACGTCCAGGGATCTTATAGTATTCAGTTGAAACCTATAAAGAACAGCAGTCGGTTTGCATATTTTCAGATATGCTGGCCAAACTATTATACATAACTTCATTTTATGTTGTTTGTTGTTGTTCCGGATCAGTATGACAATCAATAAAAGGTTAAATTACCTGTGTCCGCCGTTCGATCCTAATGTATCCTATTACAGGAGATGCATTTCGGCGAAATTAAATCGCCATTACCAGACCTAATATAAGGTCTTGAGCTTCCCCGTGCGTCTTGGAGTTTTTTTACTATGGACATGTGTCGGTCATGTGCCGAGTCTCGACTGAAAACGCTCATTTAAAAAATGTAAGTTTCCCAGCCATAAACATCACTGATTCAAGGTCTTTTTCCCGGTTATCAAAACTTAAAACAATTAATTTTATACACAAAGAATCTCTATTTTCATTTACGGTTACCCTACAAATTATTGCACTTGCAATTAATTAAATCCGTTATGTAAGGAAAAACGTTTTTAATCTTACTTGGTTTGGATTTGCTTTCAAAACGTGATCGGAAATGGTTGCGGTGTTTGTAAACAACATTCATTGTAAACATATCAGTGACAGCTAGAAGAAATAATCTTGATTGGAACAGCTGTTCCTTATTTCATAGATGAATATGTGATAAACATTGGGAGAAAACTTTACTAAAAATCGCACAAAATTGGGTTTTAAATGTCCGTCATTTTATTTACAAAGTAGTGACGCCATATTTTAATGGCTAAAGACAATCTCGCCAATCCAGTGAATACATTAAAATGATTTGGAACTTGATAGGTACTCTTGTTTTTCAGAAAAAGCCGTAAAATGGCTCTTGGGCCGTGACAGACAGGAAGACAGACAGACAGACAGAAATTTAGATGAGACTTGTTTCGGTTTCTTTAATGTATAAAACGTAAAAATAACATTTATATAGATTTGTTTATACTAGAACTGAAATTACATTGAACATTTTTGTTGTAGATTGAAACAGTAAAAAGAATTAAAACAGCGAATTAATATAATACAATAGAAGAATATAGAAAGACAAGAAAAAAGGAAAATCCCTGTGCTTAGCAAGATTTGACTACAAGACAATACAATGTTGAATGAGAGATGAAGTCTTATCATGTAACTGCTATACATTTAACAAGTCCTACAAACAAGGTTACTTTATAGAATGCATTCAAATCCATCTGATTTGTTGAGTTTATTGATTAGTTACTAGATTTATGTGATAAGTTACACAAAAATAAAAAGTGCAAGAGAAGAAATGTTAACTCAGACTAAACACTTTCCTCTCAAGTGTCCAATATGTGAGCAATGCTGTTCAACTCTATCCGCAATGAAGGTTCATATATTATATCACACAGGAGAGCGTCCCTTCAAATGTTTGAAATGTGGAAAAACTTTTTTCAAACAACAGCAAGTAAAGACACATTCATTGGTTCATACAGGGGAGAGGCCTTACAAGTGCTCTATATGTGAAAAATCATTTAAAACCAAAGGTGAATTGAAGAGACATTCAATGGTTCATACAGGGGAGAGACCTTACAAGTGCTCTACATGTGGAAAATCATTAAAAACCAAAGGTGAATTGAAGATACATTCATTGGTTCATACAAGGGAGAGACCTTACCAGTGCACTACATGTGAAAAATCATTTAAAACCAAAGGTAAATTGAAGAGACATTCATTGGTTCATACAGGGGAGAGACCTTACAAGTGCTCTACATGTGGAAAATCATTAAAAACCAAAGGGGATGTGAAGAGACATACTTTGATTCATACAGGAGAGAAGCCTTTTAAGTGCACTTTTTGTGAAAAATCCTTTTCACGTAATACTGTTATGATGAAACATATTGCAATGGTTCATACAGGGGAGAGACCTTACGAGTGTGCTACATGTGGAAAGTTCTTTGCAACAAAAAGTCATCTGAAGAAACACACATTGGTTCATACAGGAGAGAAGCCTTATAAGTGCACTTCATGTGAAAAATCCTTTACATCTAAAAGCTATGTGAAGATACATTCATTAGTGCATATAGGAGAGAGACCTTTTAAGTGCACTACATGTGAAAAGTCCTTTACTACCAAAGACAAATTGAAGAGACATTCATTGGTTCATACAGGGAAGAGACTTTAAAAGTGCCCTACATGTGAAAAATCTTTTGCATTAAAAAGCTGTATCAGAACACATATTACAAGGGTCCACGCAGTAGAGAGACTCAGAGACTCTAAAGTGCAGTAGGTTTTTGCAGCAACCTTTTTCTTCCAAAAACATATGAAGGTACAGTACATTCGGTTTGGATACTGAAGATAGACCTCGTAAGTGCACTACAAAAACATACATGTGAAAATCCTTTTAATGAAAAACTAAATTAAGGAACATTAAGGACAAATATTTAGCATTCAAAATCATTTTAATATACATTTTAATTTATCTGAGTGACCTACAAGAAAATAGTTATAAGAATTTTATTCTCACTTAATTTTAAACACATTTTCAAATCCTCCAGAGATTAAAGGAAGAAATCTATAAGGTATTACTTAAATATTTTTTAGAATATTAATTTTGTCTGTGATTTTAATTTTTGAAGGGATAAAATATAATAAGTTGTTCCAGCTCTGCCAGGGTTTTACAGCTCTAATTTATGTTTTTGAATTCAATATAAATTTTTTGTAGATATTATAGCTATGAAATAGTAGGTTTGTTTACTGTATTGAATTCTAGTTTTTGACAAACATGCAGTTTAACATACAGGGTGAGTTTTAAATGAGTTCCCCCCCCTACTTTTTTCTACATTTCTTAAGATATCAACTCCGGTCCACGTCAGATCATTGTAAAGTAGTAAGTACTTCATTTTGACTGGGTATAAATTTGTGGCCGCCATCTTGGATCCGCCATATTGGATACAAAGTTTTTTTTTCAAATGTAAGAGTTGTTTTCAAAGGTAGTATTTTTGAGCAAGACAGGATCACTCTTACATGTGTTCCCCAATCACAAATTAAATTTAGTAATTTACTAGCTGTGTACCCGTTCTACGTCCAGGGATCTTATAGTATTCAGTTGAAACCTATAAAGAACAGCAGTCGGTTTGCATATTTTCAGATATGCTGGCCAAACTATTATACATAACTTCATTTTATGTTGTTTGTTGTTCCGGATCAGTATGACAATCAATAAAAGGTTAAATTACCTGTGTCCGCCGTTCGATCCTAATGTATCCTATTACAGGAGATGCATTTCGGCGAAATTAAATCGCCATTACCAGTCCTAATATAAGGTCTTGAGCTTCCCCGTGCGTCTTGGAGTTTTTTTACTATGGACATGTGTCGGTCATGTGCCGAGTCTCGACTGAAAACGCTCATTTAAAAAATGTAAGTTTCCCAGCCATAAACATCACTGATTCAAGGTCTTTTTCCCGGTTATCAAAACTTAAAACAATTAATTTTATACACAAAAAATCTCTATTTTCATTTACGGTTACCCTACAAATTATTGCACTTGCAATTAATTAAATCCGTTATGTAAGGAAAAACGTTTTTAATCTTACTTGGTTTGGATTTGCTTTCAAAACGTGATCGGAAATGGTTGCGGTGTTTGTAAACAACATTCTTTGTAAACATATCAGTGACAGCTAGAAGAAATAATCTTGATTGGAACAGCTGTTCCTTATTTCATAGATGAATATGTGATAAACATTGGGAGAAAACTTTACTAAAAATCGCACAAAATTGGGTTTTAAATGTCCGTCATTTTATTTACAAAGTAGTGACGCCATATTTGAATGGCTAAAGACAATCTCGCCAATCCAGTGAATACATTAAAATGATTTGGAACTTGATAGGTACTCTTGTTTTTCAGAAAAAGCCGTAAAATGGCTCTTGGGCCGTGACAGACAGGAGACAGACAGACAGACAGAAATTTAGATGAGACTTGTTTCGGTTTCTTTAATGTATAAAACGTAAAAATAACATTTATATAGATTTGTTTATACTAGAACTGAAATTACATTGAACATTTTTGTTGTAGATTGAAACAGTAAAAAGAATTAAAACAGCGAATTAATATAATACAATAGAAGAATATAGAAAGACAAGAAAAAAGGAAAATCCCTGTGCTTAGCAAGATTTGACTACAAGACGATACAATGTTGAATGAGAGATGAAGTCTATCATGTAATTGCTATACATTTAACAAGTCCTACAAACAAGGTTACTTTATAGAATGTATTCAAATCCATCTTATTTGTTGAGTTTATTGATTAGTTACTAGATTTATGTGATAAGTTACACGAAAATAAAAAGTGCAAGAGAAGAAATGTTAACTCAGACTAAACACTTTCCTCTCAAGTGTCCAATATGTGAGCAATGCTGTTCAACTCTATCCGCAATGAAGGTTCATATATTATATCACACAGGAGAGCGTCCCTTCAAATGTTTGAAATGTGGAAAAACTTTTTTCAAACAACAGCAAGTAAAGACACATTCATTGGTTCATACAGGGGAGAGGCCTTACAAGTGCTCTATATGTGAAAAATCATTTAAAACCAAAGGTGAATTGAAGAGACATTCAATGGTTCATACAGGGGAGAGACCTTACAAGTGCTCTACATGTGGAAAATCATTAAAAACCAAAGGTGAATTGAAGATACATTCATTGGTTCATACAAGGGAGAGACCTTACCAGTGCACTACATGTGAAAAATCATTTAAAACCAAAGGTAAATTGAAGAGACATTCATTGGTTCATACAGGGGAGAGACCTTACAAGTGCTCTACATGTGGAAAATCATTAAAAACCAAAGGGGATGTGAAGAGACATACTTTGATTCATACAGGAGAGAAGCCTTTTAAGTGCACTTTTTGTGAAAAATCCTTTTCACGTAATACTGTTATGATGAAACATATTGCAATGGTTCATACAGGGGAGAGACCTTACGAGTGTGCTACATGTGGAAAGTTCTTTGCAACAAAAAGTCATCTGAAGAAACACACATTGGTTCATACAGGAGAGAAGCCTTATAAGTGCACTTCATGTGAAAAATCCTTTACATCTAAAAGCTATGTGAAGATACATTCATTAGTGCATATAGGAGAGAGACCTTTTAAGTGCACTACATGTGAAAAGTCCTTTACTACCAAAGACAAATTGAAGAGACATTCATTGGTTCATACAGGGAAGAGACTTTAAAAGTGCCCAACATGTGAAAAATCTTTTGCATTAAAAAGCTGTATCAGAACACATATTACAAGGGTTCACACAGTAGAGAGACTCAGAGACTCTATAAAGTGTAGTAGGTTTTTGCAGCAACCTTTTTCTTCCAAAAAACATATGAAGGTACAGTACATACGGTTTGGATACTGAAGATAGACCTTGTAAGTGCACTACAAAAATATACATGTGAAAATCCTTTTCATGAAAAACTAAATTAAGGAACATTAAGGACAAATATTTAGCATTCAAAATCATTTTAATATACATTTTAATTTATCTGAGTGACCTACAAGAAAATAGTTATAAGAATTTTATTCTCACTTAATTTTAAACACATTTTTAAATCCTTCAGAGATTAAAGGAAGAAATCTATAAGGTATTACTTAAATATTTTTTAGAATATAAATTTTGTCTGTGATTTTAATTTTTGAAGGGATGAAATATAATAAGTTGTTCCAGCTCTGCCAGGGTTTTTACAGCTCTAATTTATGTTTTTGAATTCAATATAAATTTTTTGTAGATATTATAGCTATGAAATAGTACGTTTGTTTACTGTATTGGTAGTAAGTACTTAATTTTGACTGGGTATAAATTTGTGGCCGCCATCTTGGATCCGCCATATTGGATACAAAGTTTTTTTTTTCAAATGTAAGTGTTGTTTTCAAAGGTAGAGTTGTGACCCATTATTCCAAACTAAAATTTTACGCTGATTACAATGCCGAAATAGTTTTTAAAAATCTTGATCGGTTCTAAAGTTATAAGGACTTTTTATAACTTTTTTTTAGCCCATTTTAACATTATGCATTTACAAACTAAGACCATAATCTCAAAATAGTGCTAGATAAAGATAAATATACACCACCATTCATTGTCGACCCATTTTCACTTGGTTATGACGGATGTATTTTTTTCGGTGGCCATCTTGGATCCGCCATTTTGAAATGTGACAAATTAATTTAAATATGAAGGAGGTGTTGTGATAGAAGCCAAAAACACCATTTGTCCGAATTCATATATACGTCCGTTGGCACAATAACTCGAGCTAAAATGATCCGATTTTGATTAAATCTGGCACAAACATGTAATCCTATGTTTATTCGAACGAGTTTGCAAACTACAGTAGCATAATCGGACTATGGAAACAGGGGTTTATGGGAGTAAAAATTGGTTTTCCCGATTTTGACCCTAAAAACATAAAATTTTGCATTATCTATCCAAACCATTTTGTAGAGCATAAAAAAAAACAAATAATTTAGTTTATTAACCCTCCAAGTGTCCATAGTTTAGGCCTTAATGTCCACCTATTTTTGGCACATTTGCAAGGTTTTATTAAAACGGATCTGAGAAGCTTAAAACAATGTTAATTCTAATGTTCTATATACCATTTTGTTTGGAAAATCATGGGCTTCAATATTATATATAAAACATAAGGAACATTTTTTCAAAAAAAAATTTTTTAGGTAAAAAAAAATATAATTTCGAAAATTTTCAAAAAAAAAATAAGTTCGCGCTCAATGAAATTGTATAAATTATAGGCCTATAAATATTTGAAAATAGCCACTTTGTTCTAAATTTTATGAGGATTACAAATATATAATAATATAAGGAAGTAGATTTGCAAATAAATAAGTTATGGGCAAAAAACAGATTTCAGTACATAGCGTTTAGCTAAGAATGCATAGCCTAACCATAGCTAGGAATCTGGCTGATAATTTACATCAATATCACTACCTACTTCTTCAGGATCATCAACCAGCACTTCAAAACCACTTAAATCTTCTTATAATGCAACACGTATATCACTACTTTTGATTTTTAACACTAAAACAATGATAAACGTAATAAAACACATCAGTCATCGGTCGGAGGGTAACCTAGCTGTTTACAAATACACGCACGTCGGCACGTCAGCTGTCTGCTACATATTACGATCATCTCAGATAACGTACAGCGCTGAGACAGACCTCTGGAGAAAGCTTAGAATGAAACGGAAAGAACGATACCTAACTCGATCCAGTTCAATCCGATTCAGTCAGTTATAGAGCCTTCGCCGTAAACGATGTCTGCCTGTCAAAAAATTGACAAGTAACACTACACAAAGTGTGCTGCTTGTCGAATTTTCGTCAAGTAACACTGGGAGGGTTAAAGCATTCGCTGTATGTGTGACAGTTACAGAGAAAAAAAATACCCCCGCCGCAGCAAACCTGCAAACTAAGTGAATTTCCATTTGCCTGATTGGATTTACCCTAAAAACGTCTCCTTAAAAATATCACATTTATTCCCTATTTAAATAACATTAGTTTAACGAGTACTTACGTTTGCTGCTTAGGGAGGGTAAAAAGGTGTTTTTTTGTAAAATGTTAATATTTTAGTATGGAATGAATGCATTTTCCAATATCCTATACTCTAATACGAGCAATGTTTGCTTGTATGTATGTATGTATGCTTGCTTGCTTGCTTGCACCAAGATCTCGAAAACGTCTCCGACGATTTTCTTCAAATGTTGTATATAGTTTATTTCTGGCCTAAAAACGAGTTTACTGCAATTAGAACTGCCATCAAAAATCTAATTACGTAGAAAAATGAAATTGAAAATCACATTTTTTTAACATTAGTCTTATGGGTTGCTAGGTAACCATGTTGGCTGAATTAAATAACAAGGAAAAAGTAAACAAAAGACTTGTAGCTTGTAATTTGTCTATCCACAGTATACTAGCAAAACAAAATACAGTACAAAAGGAAAAACATCAGTTGTTACTATTGAGCAAAGATTATACTGAAGATTACTAGATTCTATAGTCAAGGGTAGCAGTGTGGAGTGTGGGATCTGTTTATGACGATTAGATTACGGTATCTGCAATCCTTAAATGCTATGGAAAGGGAGGAAAACAGGTCCGCGACGTAGGAAGTGGTGAAGGAAGTAGTAAAGGCGAGCAGTCTGGAGTGTGGAAACTGTTTAAGACGATTAGATTAAGGAATCTGCAATCCTAAAATCCTATGGGAAGGGATGGAAAGAGGTCCGCGACGTAGGAAGTGGTGAAGGAAGTAGTAAAGGCGAGCAGTCTGGAGTGTGAAAACTGTTTATGACGATTAGATTAAGGAATATACGATCCTAAAATGCAATGGGAATGGAGGGAAACAGGTCCGCGACGTAGGAAGTGGTGAAGGAAGTAGTAAAGGCGAGCAGTCTGGAGTGTGGAAACTGTTTAAGACGATTAGAATAAGGAATCTGCAATCCTAAAATCCTATGGGAAGGGATGGAAAGAGGTCCGCGACGTAGGAAGTGGTGAAGGAAGTAGTAAAGGCGAGCAGTCTGGAGTGTGGAAACTGTTTATGACGATTAGATTAAGGAATCTGCAATCCTAAAATGCTATGGGAATGGAGGGAAACAGGTCCGCGACGTAGGAAGTGGTGAAGGAAGTAGTAAAGGCGAGCAGTCTGGAGTGTGGAAACTGTTTATGACGATTAGATTAAGGAATCTGCAATCCTAAAATGCTATGGGAAGGGAGGGAAACAGGTTCACGACGTAGGAAGTGGTGAAGGAAGTAGTAAATGTGAGCAGTCCGGAGTGTGGGAACTGTTAATAACGATTAGATCAAGTTATCTACAATCCTAAAATGCTATGGGACGGGAGGGAATCATGTCCGCGACGTAGGAAGTGGTGAAGGAAGTAGTAAAGGTGAGCAGTCCGGAGTGTGGAAACTGTTTATGACGATTAGATTAAGGAATCTACAATCCTAAAATGCTATGGGAATGGAGGGAAACAGGTCTGCGACGTAGGAAGAGGTAAAGGAAGTAGTAAAGGCAAGCAGCCCGGAGTGTTGGAACTGTTAATGACGATTAGATTGGGGTATCTGCAATCCTAAAATGCCATTGGAAGGGGGAGAAACAGGTCCGTGACGTAGGAAGTGGTGAAGGAAGTAGTAAAGGCGAGCAGTCTGGAGCCTGGGAACTGTTTATGGGAACTACATTAAGGTATCTACAATCCTAAAATGCTACTAGAAGGGAGGAGAGGAAAACAGGTCCATGACGTAGGAAATGGTGTAGGAAGTAGTAATGCTAGCAGTGCAGAGTGTGGGAACTGTCTGTGGCATTTATGTATCTGCAATTCTAAAATGGTATAGGGAAGGAGGGCAAACAGGTCCACGACGTAGGGAGTGGTGAAGTAAGTAGTGAAGGTTAGCAGTGTGGAGATTGGGAGTGGATTAATGTATCTGCAATACTTTTCAGAGTAAAGTAATAATTTTCCCCGAGCAAAGCTCGGTCCCCAGGTACTGATCTTAAACAAGCAAACTACAACAGTTTACTTATTCACCATAAGAATAACATGGGAATTTTAAATTTATAGTTTTTTTGAATTTTCTCCGTAACCATTAGGCGCATAATAACGCTTCAATATACTAAATTATTTCTTTTTTTAAGCTCTACAAAATGGTTTGGAAAGGAAATGCTAAATTTTAAGTTTTTATTGTCAAAAATGGGAAAAACCAGTTTTTGCCCCATAAAACCCCCCATAAACCCCTGTTCCCATAGTCCGATCATAATGGTTCACGAACTCGTCCGAATAAATGTAGGTTTACACGTTTTTACCAAATTACATCAAAATCAGATGATCATCAAGATCATTTTTGCTTGAGTTATCGCGCTAATGGACATATATATAAATATATTTTTTTATAGTTCTGTTTACTTTTTAGGGCTACTTTTTCAATTAATAAGCGAAATAATAAAAACCAGAGTACCCTGAAATTCATTTTTATTTAAACTGATACGTATTTCGGCACTAAGGCCATGATCACAGTATGAGCTATATAAAAGTATGTAAACAAATAAAATAAATAAATAGTTAATAACATATGTTTTGAATTCATATAAAATTTTGATTAAATGGTTAGGTGTATTTTTTAACATGTAAATGAGCAAGATTCTTCCCTGATTTGTCTGATTTTTTTATGTATTGGATTTCGCTTTTGTAATATTCCCTATATGGGAAATTCGCTAAAAGGGTAAATTAAAATTCCCATGTTATTCTTATGGAGAAAAATAAAAATGTATTTTCCTTTTATATGTATATATTTTAATTAAATTTGCAAATTTGTTGTTTATTTTATACAACACTATCAACATTTCAATAAAAAAACACCTTTTTACCTTCCCTGTAACAGCAAACTTAAAATACTCATCTAGGCTAAATAAAGCCAAAAAGAATCTGAACTTTTGAGAAACCCATTTAAGCCACACCTATAAACTGCATACTTGAATGAAAGGTCTTTCTGAAAGGTGATACTTCCCCGTAGATCACACACAAGAAAAGAGAATCTAATTTAAGTGTAAGAATACTTTTTTTTTAGGGTGAGGAGGGAAAATGCTTTTACCCACACAGGTAGCCAGCCTGTAGTGTGAGACTCCTGAATTTATCAGACTACTCACTAAAAAACCCCCTCTGCTCTGTTGGACACAGACCTGGGATTGTTTGTCACATTACGAGAGACCATGTTCTGCCATCCATGCGTTAATGGTGCGCATGACTCAATTTAGTTTTAGCTGGGCAAGCTCAATGCTACGTGCAGCTATCAAAGCCGCAACGTCATCTGCATACCCAGCTAAGACAGTTTCTTCAGGCATCTCGGATCTCAAGAGGCTGTCGTAGGCGACGTTCCAGAGGTTCAGGCCCAGTATGGATCCTTGAGCAGCACCAGACCATCATTGTCATCCATTGTTACATCCATTGTCCTGGGGCCTTCTGTAGTGTCATAAATGATGAGGCGGTACCGGAGGTAGTCCTCTATCATGAGGTATGCCGGGACGTGGAAAGTGTTCTCCAGAGCATCCAGCATATCGCACCACCTCGCGGAGTTAAATGCATTTCGCACATTAAGTGTTACAAGCAGCACAACCCGACGAGAATAGTTGTTAAACTCCTCAGCTCTCATTACGGCTCGCTTTGACGCTTTACCTCCTCAATAGCGTCAACCGTTGACCGTCCCTTCCTGAAGCCGTATTGACGAGGGGACAGATTTCCTGCAGCAACCACGGCTGAATTCAGTCGGGAACGGATAAACTTTTCCAAGACTTTCCCAGCAGTGTCCAACATACAGAGAAGTCTGTAAGAGGTTGGTAGGTCTAGGTTTCCTTTTCCCTTCCCCACAAACACAAGCCTAGCTGTTTTCCAGCAGAAGGGAAACTTCCCCTCGGCCAGACAGGCATTGTACGTGCTCAAAAGGATTTGTGGATTTATTGAAAAGACTTTCTTCAGGGCCTCACCAGGTACCCCATTAGGTCCAGAAGCCTTGTTGTTCTTCAGGGATAGAACGGCCGCCTCCAACTTCTCGAGACTGAACAGCGGTACGTTGTCCACCCTTCCGAACTCCCGCAATTGGCGCAGCGTGTGAGTCATGAAAAGGGAATTTACAATCCTCTCCATAGAGGCCCCGTCCCTAACGGAAGGTGGAGAGCGGGTGCCAAGCTTCTTGGTTAGCGTAAGAATACTAATTAAGGTTATCCCTGAAGTAATAATTTGACGGATCACTCTTAACATGTGTTCCCCAATCACAAATTAAATTTAGTAATTTACTAGCTGTGTACCCGTTCTACGTCCAGGGATCTTATAGTATTCAGTTGAAACCTATAAAGAACAGCAGTCGGTTTGCATATTTTCAGATATGCTGGCCAAACTATTATACATAACTTCATTTTATGTCGTTTGTTGTTGTTCCGGATCAGTATGACAATCAATAAAAGGTTAAATTACCTGTGTCCGCCGTTCGATCCTAAAGTATCCTATTACAGGAGATGCATTTCGGCGAAATTAAATCGCCATTATCAGTCCTAATATAAGGTCTTGAGCTTCTCCATTAGGTGCGTCTTGGAGTTTTTGAAACACATACACAAACTGTACACTTATACACATGACGAATAAAACATAAATACACGGTAGGCCTACTTTTATTTTTACTATGGACATGTAGACGCGTGTCGGTCATGTGCCGAGTCTCGACTGAAAACGCTCATTTAAAAAATGTAAGTTTCCCAGCCATATACATCACTGATTCAAGGTCTTTTTCCCGGTTATCAAAACTTAAAACAATTAATTTTATACACAAAGAATCTCTATTTTCATTTACGGTTAACCTACAAATTATTGCACTTGCAATTAATTAAATCCGTTATGTAAGGAAAAACGTTTTTAATCTTACTTGGTTTGGATTTGCTTTCAAAACGTGATCGGAAATGGTTGCGGTGTTTGTAAACAACATTCATTGTAAACATATCAGTGACAGCTAGAAGAAATAATCTTGATTGGAACAGCTGTTCCTTATTTCATAGATGAATATGTGATAAACATTGGGAGAAAACTTTACAAAAAATCGCACAAAATTGGGTTTTAAACGTCCGTCATTTTATTTACAAAGTAGTGACGCCATATTTTAATGGCTAAAGACAATCTCGCCAATCCAGTGAATACATTAAAATGATTTGGAACTTGATAGGTACTCTTGTTTTTCAGAAAAAGCCCGCGTAAAATGGCTCTTGGGCCGTGACAGACAGGAAGACAGACATTTAGATGAGACTTGTTTCGGTTTCTTTAATGTATAAAACGTAAAAATAACCTAAAAGTTTATGATTCCGAGCAATGTACAGACAAAACTCTAATTTTATTTATATAGATTTGTTTATACTAGAACTGAAATTACATTGAACATTTTTGTTGTAGGTTGAAACAGTAAAAGGAATTAAAACAGCAGATTATATTGATTTACGAATTAATATAATACAATAGAAGAATATAGAAAGACAAGAAAAAAGGAAAATCCCTGTGCATAGCAAGATTTGACTACAAGACGATACAATGTTGAATGAGAGATGAAGTCTATCATGTAACTGCTATACATTTAACATGTCCTTCAAACAAGGTTACTTTATAGAATGCATTCAAATCCATCTGATTTGTTGAGTTTATTGATAAGTTACTAGATTTATGTGATAAGTTACACGGAAATAAAAAGTGCAAGAGTAGAAATGTTAACTCAGACTAAACATTTTCCTCTCAAGTGTCCAATATGTGTGCAATGCTGTTCAACTCTAACTACAATGAAGGTTCATATATTATATCACACAGGAGAGCGTCCCTTCAAATGTTTGAAATGTGGAAAAACTTTTTTCAAACAACAGCAAGTAAAGACACATTCATTGGTTCATACAGGAGAGAGGACTTACAAGTGCTCTACATGTGAAAAATCATTTAAAACCAAAGGCGATATGAAGAGACATTCATTAGTTCATACAGGGGAGAGACCTTACAAGTGCTCTACATGTGGAAAATCATTAAAAACCAAAGGTGAATTGAAGAAACATTCATTGGTTCATACAAGGGAGAGACCTTACCAGTGCAGTACATGTGAAAAATCATTTAAAACCAAAGGCGATATGAAGAGACATTCATTAGTTCATACAGGGGAGAGACCTTACAAGTGCTCTACATGTGGAAAATCATTAAAAACCAAAGGTGAATTGAAGATACATTCATTGGTTCATACAAGGGAGAGACCTTACCAGTGCACTACATGTGAAAAATCATTTAAAACCAAAGGCGATATGAAGAGACATTCATTGGTTCATACAGGGGAGAGACCTTACAAGTGCTCTACATGTGGACAATCATTAAAAACTAAAGGCGATTTGAAAAGACATTCATTGGTTCATACAGGGGAGAGACCTCACAAGTGCTCTACATGTGGACAATCATTAAAAACTAAAGGCGATTTGAAAAGACATTCATTGGTTCATACAGGGGAGAGACCTTACAAGTGCACTACATGTGGAAAGTTTTTTTCAACAAAAAGCCATATGAAGATACACACCTTGGTTCACACAGGGGATAGACCTTATAAGTGCACTTCATGTGAAAAATCCTTTACATCTAAAGGCAACATGATGAGACATTCATTAGTGCATATAGGAGAGAGACCTTTTAAGTGCACTACATGTGGAAAATCCTTTACAACCAAAGACAAATTGAAGAGACAGTCATTGGTTCATATAGGAAAGACACCTTATAAGTGCATTACATGCGAAAAATCGTTTGCATTAAAAAGCTGTATCAGAACACATATTACAAGGGTTCATACAGTAGATAGACTTAGATACTTTAAAGTGCAGTAGGTAAAAACCTTTTTCCTTCAAAAAACATATCAAGGTACAGTACATACGGTTTGGATACTGATGATATACCTTCTAAGTGCACTAAAAATATACATGTAAAAATCATTTCCATGAAAAACTAAATTAAGGAACATTAAGGTCAAATATTTAGCATTCAAAATCATTTTAATATACATTTTAATCCATCTTGAGTGACCTACAAGTAAATAGTTTTAAGAATTTTTATTCTCACTTAATTTTAAACACATTTTAAAATCCTCTAGAGATTATAGGAAGAAATCTATAAGGTATTTCTTAGATTGTTTTAGATTATTAATTTTGTCTGTAATTTTATGCTTTTGAATTAAATATAATTTTTTTGTAGATATTATAGCTATGAAATAGTAGGTTTGTTTACTGTATTGAATTTTAGTTTTTGACAAACATAAAGTTTAACATATAAAAGCCATAAACAGTAAGTATTTGTACTGGTGAGCAGAGAGGCCAATGAGACGAGTGGGGCCGAAAAATTGGTGTTCATTCTTATTGAAATGTATTATCAATCATTCAATAATTGTATTGAACAAGTAATAACATTAATGGTATTCATAATACGTTATTAACATTTGATTTTTATTGGCCTATTCAGTGATAACGTCGATAACAAACTAAGGTAACAAATTTAAAGTTTTATAACGTGGGTCTTTGACTATTATGCAATCTTATTTTCGTCACAGAGAAGTATTTTACTTTTCCACGCTTTACTACACTGCTCTGTGCTCATGTCTACAAACATTTTAAAATATTTAACATGGATCCTGGATTCATGAACCCCCCCCCATGAACTAGGGCTTGTGATATTGTATTATTTTACATTTGAGTCAATCAATCAAAATAACTTTATTCATATTGCACAATTTGTACAGAATGGAGTCAGTTATAAAAACACAATATTAAACATTTTGCCCTAATATTAAATGTATGTAGAACCTCTTTAATCCTAACTAATTGGGACTGTGGGTAGTTTGGATTACAGACCATCCCTGTTTTTACATAACAATTTTTACATAAACAAATAATTTAGTATATCAAAGTGATTTTGTTATTGGTAATGAAGAAATTTCAATAAATTGTATATTTAAAATTCCCATGTTATTTTTATGGAGAATATTGTAAAATGTTGTTGTTTGCTTTTTTATGGATATATTTTGATCTAACTTGGCAAATTTATTTATTTTATAGTAAGCTATTAATATTTTACTGCAAAATAAACTTTATTAGTTTCCTCGCTGCAGCAAACCTAGGAACTCGTTTAACCTAACGTATTTAAATAGATTTAATTGAAAATAAATTCAGACAACTGGAAATTCGTCAGCAAGTTTGCTGCAGTGGGGGTATTTTTTTAAATTTATATAGACTAATTTATTATTAATTAAATATTTACTTTTTGTATTAGGTAGTTTTCAAAACAGCCTGATGATGAAAACTTGGTTTTCAAAAGCATTTGTGAAAGAAAAAAAAACTATATATTGACCTTTTGTACTTTAAAAGTTATTTTACATTAAATTATTTCTTTTGCTAATACAATATTCAATCAACATCAGTGCACATTAAATGTTCCATATGGAAATATGTTGGTAAAATTTGAATCAGAAAAATTGAAATTTGCTTAGTCTGCAGGTTTGCTGCGGCAGGGGTATTTTATATCAACTGGGAAGGCATTAAACTTGCTTTTAGCGAATTTCGCTTAGGAAATAAGCTATTACCTTAGGTCTCATAGAAAGACCTGGGCCTGGGACCTATTTACTTTTTCGTTTTGAGGTCCTTGATAGAAGCCAAAAACACCATTTGTTAAAATTCATATACGTCCGTTAGCACCATAAATCGAGCTAAAATGATCCGATTTTGATTAAATCTGGTACATACATGTAATCCTATGTTTATTCGAATGAGTTTGCAAACTAGCATAATCTGACTATGGAAACAGGGGTTTATGGGAGAAAAAAATTGGGTTTTCCCATTTTTGACCCTAATAACATAAAATTTTGCATTATCCATCCAAACCATTTTGTATATTATTTAGAGCATAAAAAACAAATAATTTAGTTTATTAAAGCATTGTTGTATGATTGCCAGGTAAAAAGAAAATAAAAAAAGGGCAAATTAAAATTCCCATCTTATTCTTATGGAGAAACTAAAAATTTTGTATTTTGCTTTTTTATGTACTATATATTTTAATTAAATTTGCAAATTTGTTTATTTTATACTACACTATCATCATTTCCTTCCCTGTAGCAGCAAACCTAAATAGTTACTCATCTAGGCTAAATAAAGCTAAGAAGGATCTGAACTTTTGAGAAAACCATAAGCCACACCTATCAACTGCATACTTGAACTAAAGGTCTTGCTGAAAGGTGATAGTTCCCCGTAGATCACACATATGAAAAGAGAATCTAATTTAAGTGTAAGAATACTAATTAATGTTATCCCCGAAGTAATAATTTGATGGATCACTCTTCACATGTGTTTCCCCCTCACAAATTAAATTTAGTAATTTATTTGTTTATACCAGGACTGAAATTATATTGAACATTTTTGTTGTAGGTTGAGACAGTAAAAGGAATTAAAACAACAGATTATATTAATTTGAGAATTAATATAATACAATACAAGAACATAGAAAGACAAGAGAAAAAGGAAAATCCCTGTGCATAGCAAGATTTGACTACAAGACGATACAATGTTGAATGAGAGAGGAAGTCTATCATGTAATTGCTATACATTTAACAAGTCCTACAAACAAGGTTACTTTATAGAATGCATTCAAATCCATCTGATTTGTTGAGTTTATTGATTAGTTTCTAGATTTATGTGATAAGTTACACGGAAATAAAAAGTGCAAGAGTAGAAATGTTAACTCAGACTAAACATTTTCCTCTCAAGTGTCCAATATGTGAGCAATGCTGTTTATTTCTATCCGCAATGAAGGCTCATATATTATATCACACAGGAGAGCGTCCCTTCAAATGTTTGGTATGTGAAAAAACTTTTTTCAGACAGCAGCAAGTAGAGAGGCACTCATTGGTTCATACAGGGGAGAGACCTTACAAGTGCACTACATGTAGAAAATCCTTTATAACCAAAGGGGATTTGAAGAAACATACCTTGTTTCATACAGGAGAGAGACCTTATAAGTGCACATTATGCGAAAAATCATTAAAAACCAAAGGTGAATTGAAGAGACATTCAATGGTTCATACAGGGGAGAGACCTTACAAGTGCTCTACATGTGGAAAATCATTAAAAACCAAAGGTGAATTGAAGATACATTCATTGGTTCATACAAGGGAGAGACCTTACCAGTGCACTACATGTGAAAAATCATTTAAAACCAAAGGTGAATTGAAGAGACATTCATTGGTTCATACAGGGGAGAGACCTTACAAGTGCTCTACATGTGGAAAATCATTAAAAACCAAAGGGGATGTGAAGAGACATTCAATGGTTCATACAGGAGAGAGACCTTATAAGTGCACATTATGCGAAAAATCATTAAAAACCAAAGGTGAATTGAAGAGACATTCAATGGTTCATACAGGGGAGAGACCTTACAAGTGCTCTACATGTGGAAAATCATTGAAAACCAAAAGTGAATTGAAGATACATTCATTGGTTCATACAAGGGAGAGACCTTACCAGTGCAGTACATGTGATAAATCATTTAAAACCAAAGGCGATATGAAGAGACATTCATTAGTTCATACAGGGGAGAGACCTTACAAGTGCTCTACATGTGGAAAATCATTAAAAACCAAAGGTGAATTGAAGATACATTCATTGGTTCATACAAGGGAGAGACCTTACCAGTGCACTACATGTGAAAAATCATTTAAAACCAAAGGCGATATGAAGAGACATTCATTGGTTCATACAGGGGAGAGACCTCACAAGTGCTCTACATGTGGACAATCATTAAAAACTAAAGGCGATTTGAAGAGACATTCATTGGTTCATACAAGGGAGAGACCTTACCAGTGCACTACATGTGAAAAATCATTTAAAACCAAAGGTGAATTGAAGAGACATTCATTGGTTCATACAGGGAAGAGACCTTGAAAGTGAACAACATGTGAAAATTCCTTTACAACCAAAGGCGATATGAAGAAACGTTCATTGTTTCATACAGGAGAGATACCCTATAAGTGCATTACATGTGAAAAATCTTTTTCATTAAAAAGCTGTATCAGAACACATATTACAAGGGTTGATATAGTAGATAGACTCAGAGACTCTAAAGTGTAGCAGGTAAAACCCTTTTTCTTCGAAAAACATATCAAGGTACAGTACTTACGGTTTGAATACTGAAGATAGACCTTGCAAGTGCACTTCAAATATACATGTGAAAATCCTTTTCATGAAAAACTAAATTAAGGTACATGTAGGAAAAATATTTTGCATTTAAAATCATTTTAATACAGTATCAAGTATTTTGAGTGACTTTCAAGCAAATAGTTATAAGATTTTTTACCCTCCAATTTCTTTAAGTTTTTTTTGCGTTTTTTGCGGGAAAAAACAATAATTGTGTTGAACAAGTAATAACTTTAATGGTATTCATAATATGTTATTAACATTTGATTTTGTTTGGCCTATTCAGTGATAATGTCGATAAGTTTTATAACGTGGATCTTTGATTATTATGCAATCTTATTTTTGTCACAGAGAAGTATTTTACTTTTCCGCGCTTTACTACACTGCTCATGTCTGCAAACAATTTGAAACATTTAACCTGGAGCCTGGAGTCATGAACCCTCCATGAACTGGGGCTTTTAATATTGTATTATTTTACATTTTAGTTTTATCCTAATATTAAATGGATGTAGAACCTCTTTAATCCAAATTAATTGGGACTGTGGGTAGTTCGGACTACAGATCATTGCTGTTTTTACATAACAATTTTTACATCTATATATATAATACGCTAAGCCGATTTTTGTGAACAGAACTCCTCCCTCATTTTTGGACCGATTTTGATGATTAAAGTGTCAAAAAAATTGCCCTGATCTGTAGTTTTGCAAAGTGTTTTTCGTTTTTTGATATCTTTATTAGTTTGGGCAGGATCTTCCATCAAAGTTGAGTTTTCTCCCATAAGATTAACATGAGGGAATCTAAATATTAAATTGGAAACTTTGTATCCACTAATTTGAGAGAACGGCTGGGCGTAGAAACTTGGTAGAGGTGTCCAAAGAAAGGTCTTGGTCTGTAGATGAGTTATCAAAAGAAAAACGAAGTAAATTCGCTTAGGGCTCTGCCCTAGAAGCCTTTAAAAATCCCTCCACAGATTTGTTTACATTTTGGTCATGTGGATAATACTTTTTAATAAAACAGCTGTTAATTTTAAAATTTTATTTTAAATAACACACATTTATTGGGAGTTAAGGTAAATGCACCAGTAGCTGACAGTGCTCCAGAAGCTGACAGTTTGAGTTTCTTTACATTATAATGTGGTCTCTTAAAAATATTTACACATGATTGCATTGTTAGAAGAACATATGTTCATTATTGATTTGTTTACAAAAAAATCAGTGAAATTTAGCTCATACTCGCTGAATGGTGGTGGTTTGAAAGCGACCCTGTCTGTTCACATCACATTAAGTCGATTCCCTTAATGAAATTGTTAAGAAGTTAAGTTTGGTTTTTTGTCATTTCGCTAAATTTCTTAAATAGTATTAATGATTAGGCTCATTATTTTTATCAATTATACCTTTGTTGACAATTTCATGATAAAATTGGGGTGTTAGGGGTTTTGGATTTAAAATTATATCAATGTCAGGCTTTGGTACACAAAAGTCATACAAGTTCCACTAGCTGACAGGGGATATTTGCTACTTGCACAATATTAAATTGGTTTTACCCATCGAAATTTGCTTGCTATTTATAATTTATCTGATCTCACATTTTTATAAAATGATTTTAATTTTTTAATTAATAAGCCAAATTATCTTAAAAAAAATTATATTTAAAAAAAATATATACTATATATATATATTTTTTTTAATGTAAATATTTTTTATTTTAAAATATGTAAAATAAATTTTCTTAATAACGTTTTACATGATTTTATAATTTAATTATTAAGTTAGATTTTATTCGTCTTATAAATTATAAAACCCTTAGGTTTAGCAGCTACTACATTTATAGTCCCAGTGTCAGCTACTGGTACAAGCACTTTTTTCACTGTCAGCCACTGAAACACGTACAAAAGTTGAATTAAGTTTAAAAATGTTATAAAATATATTTAAAAACCCCTTTTTGTATGACAAATTTGAAAACTACACTAAATTTAGAATCACATAAAATCCGTAATATCTCTTTAGTTCCTATTTATTCAAAACCACGGATTATTAAGTGCGTATAGTTTCTTATACTGTCAGCTACTGGTGCGTTTACCTTACTGAATTGTCCAAAAGAAGTATTTGCAATGTTATTTTCTGATTTTAAAATTGATTTTCTTCTGTATCATGTCATGTGTTCCAATATAAAGTTCCATTACAAAATCAGTGGAAAACCCTTTTATAACACTAACTCTTACAATTATTTCTTATAGAACTATCTTCTATCTATTTTACTGGTTGATTTCTGCCTCTTTCACACCTTTTCCCTATATTTTATCATATTTTTCTAGACGGATCATCATAGGTTCATGAGATTATTGTCATACTGTACATGCTTTCAATCATTAGAAAAATCTTCGATTGTGTAATACAATACAAAATAATACAAGTGCAGGCGAAGGGCAGGTGCCAAATTGAGCCGTGTCCATATTTAAAAAATGAATAATGGTTTACAGCAACTGGATAAAACATTTTACAATATTTATTTAGAAATATGTGCATGATTTAGAAAGTCATTAAGCTGGAAAACTGCAATATACTGCAGACTTTTCAGAGAGGTTACTTCGATTACTGGTAACAACCAATTAACATTATTTTTTGCTTTTTGGAAACGCCACATTACTATGTCATTTGTATTATTTTTTCCCAATGAAGCTGCACAACTATAAAAATGAGGAGGCCCCTAAAGTTCAAGAATAAAAGCCAACTTCACTTCATGTATATTCCACTACACCTAACATTCCGTAGAGAGATTATATTGGCAACTTTATGTAACTGATAAGGCTGAGACAACTAACTGACATCCCCCATGTCAAGGACAGCTTTAACAGTAACCCCACAACCAATTTCTCAAAACTGTGCTAGAGGGTTATTCATTGGCTTAGAAGTACGATACGAACTGACGCGACGTGACGAAGGAAAAATCAAACTTACACTGTAACGGATATACCTCTCTTTGAAGTTAGAACGTGTCTTCCCAACAAACAGATTTCTTTTTCAAATAAAATCATAGATTAATCTGCATTACACCGATGAAATCACGGAAGTGTTTAAGTACAAAGATACATCAATACGATTTTAATACTATTTAAAGGTTCTTCCAAACGAAGAGATACCAGATAGCATACTAACAACTCCGATGACGTACAGTATGGGAAATATTTTATTCATTGAATGATCAACCATATTTGGTAACTAACACAATTAATATCATTATTGTTTTTACACTTATTAATCTTTAAACATTGCTAAATGCTCAAAATATGTATAATTTCACTCAATTTATCGCAGTTAGATGAATAAGTGTAAGCCTTGAAAATAACCGTCGATTTCGACGGGTTTCACCTAGTAAACAAATAATTTAGTATATCAAAGTGATTTTGTTATTGGTAATGAAGAAAATTCAACAAAATTTATATTTAAAATTCCCATGTTATTCTTATGGAGAATATTGTAAAATGTTGTAGTTTGCTTGTTTATGGATATGTTTTGATCAAACTTGGCAAATTTATTTATTTATAGTAAGCTATAAATTAAATTAATACTTTAACAATAATTAATACTTATATTAATACTTTACTGCAAAATAAACTTTTTTGGTTTCCTTGCCGCAGCAAACCTAGGAACTCTTTTAACCTAATGTTATTTAAATAGATTTAATTGAAAATCAATTCAGGCAACTGGAAATTCGCTTATTCACGGCAGGGGGATTTTTTTTATTTATATAGACTAATTTATTGGTTTTCAAAAGCGCTTGTGAAAAAAATTAAATTATATATTGACCTTTTGTAGTTTAAAAGTTATTTTACATTAAATTATTTCTTTTGCAACAACAGTGCACATTAAATGTTCCATACGGAAATATGTTAGTAAAAATCAGACAAATTTAAATTTGCTTAGTCTGTAAGTTTGCTGCGGCAGGGGTATTTTATATAAACTGAAAAGACATTAAACTTGCTTCTAGCAAATTTCACCTAGGGAATAAGCTATTAACTTAGGTGTCATAGAAAGATCTGGCCCTGGGATCGATTTACTTTTTCGTTTTGAGGTCCTTGGTAGAAGCCAAAAACACCGTTTGTACAAATTCATATATAGCCTACATCTGTTAGCACCATAACTCGAGGTAAAATGATCCAATTTTGATTAAATCTGGTACATACATGTAATCCGAGTTTGCGAACTAGCATAATCCGACTATGAGAACAGGGGTTTATGGGAATAAAAATAGGGTTTTCCCAATTTTTGACCCAAAAAACATAAAATTTTGCATTACCTATCCAAACCATTTTGTAGAGCATAAAAACAAATAGTTTAGTTTATGAAAGCATTGTTGTATGTTTGACAGTTAGAGAGGAAATAAAAAAAGGGTAAATTAAAATTCCCATGTTATTCTTATGGAGAAAAATTAAAATGTTGTATTTTGCTTTTTTTATGTATATATTTTAATTAAATTTGTTTATTTCATACTACACTATCATTTCCATTTAAAAAAAAAACACCTTTTTGCCCTCCCTGTAGCAGCAAACCTAAATACTCTTCGAGGCTAAATAAAGCTAAGAAGTATCTGAACTTTTGAGAAAACCATAAGCCACACATATGGTTTTCCCAGCAAGAAAGCTGGGAAAGGGAGACTCGAGGTCCTTGGACTGCTAGACTCATCAGATTGGTCCAACTGTGGGTGGAACGGTGCAGTTCTTTTCAGTTCACGGCTATTTTCAGTTGTTCCTGCACTTGATGCCCTTGCATTCTCGACAACACGGAATACACTTTTTTCCGCTGTCCACGATTGTTATATGCCATGCCGGGAGGTCACTCAACATCTTGGGGTGCTGTCGGTTGAATCGATTTGTGAGACCTTGCTGGAGGGTGAGGACAACTGGGACTGCTGGTCACACTTTGTTCGGAATATCCTTCAAGTGAAAAAGAACGATCTAGATTGGATGATGGTCTAGATCGTGTAAGAAATGAACGTCTAGAAACAGATTAAGCCCTTCGGGCAAAGGCAAACTCGTCCTAGTTTTGATGAAGTGTGACAAGTGTTCGCAGGCTAGTGTCCGAAGAATAACGGTGGTTTTTAGTGGGTATTCTTCTATGGGCCTTAAACA